CCCCCTGCGCTTATCATATTAACTGGCCCCTGGGAGGTAATCTGGTATGTGCCCTCGGGATGTTTGTGGAATTTTGGGACTGAACAAAGCCTAGGATTAATCCTAGCCTGAGACTAAGCCTAAGTTTAAGCATAAGCCTAAACATAAGCCTCAGCATAACCCTGAGCTTAAGCCTAAGCTTGAGCCTAGGCCCAAGGCAAGCTAGCAGAGATCATTTGCGAGTTCTGGCTCATCAAGTCCAAGCTTACAATTAGGGCATACTAGCAAGGATTACTTGGGAAATTAGCACAAAGTTTTTTTGGGCAGGCTATCAGGGATCCTACTATATATAAAAAAATAGTGTGTGTGTGTGTGTGTGCATTTGCATGCAACTTCCGTCACCGTGTTCCAATCCTATCTCAATAAGGAAGGAAGTTAGGGGCGTGTTTGATACGTCATTAGGTGCGTAATGGTCTCGAGATGACTGCACACATATCAGATTTTGAAAAATCAATTGTTTTCGACGTTAAAATTCGGTTTTTGTTAAAATATCGGGCACCCCTCTTTGTTAGGGAAAAATTAGCCTCCCCCGGAAGTGGCGGCAGAGGGAGCGATTTTCATTTTTTAGTCATCGGAACTCGGGAGAATGATGCAAATGTAGTATATCAAGGGATAAGACGGGGCCAGGGTTGAAAAGTCGCGAAGCGGCTTTTCAACCCTGGTCATTCGAGAAAATTTGAAAAATCCGTATTTTGACGAAACCCCTCGAAGGGCAAGCTAGCAGAGCGCATTTGAGAATTCAGTATTTCTAGCGATGGACCGAGGGCAGGCTGGCAGCGATTGCTTGGGAATATTTATGCTGAATTTTCTAATCACATCGGGTGAGCGTTTCTATAATGCCAAATCGATACCACCTCCTCCCCCTGAAAATGACCCCGGGGGCACAAAGTTCAACCCCCCGGGATGAACGTGGTGACGATGATGGGCCAGGCGGCTGTGTCAATATCAACAGCCCCATCAATCACACTCACCTTCCCGATTCCTTTAAGACAAAAAAGGGGAGATCTCAAAGTGGGGAGGGCGGGGTTCCGCCTCCCGCGCGAAGCCCCGCCCCGGCCCGCTTTCAACCCAGGTGGCGTGGCGCTCCGCGAACACGCGCCCCCGCTATATAAGGATTATCGGGGCGTTGATCGGCCCCAGGGCGCTTTTCGGCGCTTCTTTGGCTTGTTCGGCTTAGACTTATGCTTAGGCTTAGCCTTAGGCTTAGGCTTGGGCTTAGTCTTAGGCTTAGGCTTAGGCTTAGGCAATGTCATTAATGCATCGTTTCGCCATATATTTAACCCTTTGTACCCTGAGCTTTGTACTGCTCGAACTTCTCGAAATTCTCGAACCGCACCAGCTCCCCTCTTTTACCTGAATTTTTCAGACCCCACAAAAATGCTCGCCCACACTATTTGCCTACTCGCATTCTACGCAGCATGCCAAGCCGTGCCGATGATGATGGCCAAACCCTACACCGACGACAAGTTCAACCCGTTCGGCATGGAAACGGCACCAAAAAGTGAGTAACAAAGATTTTTTCAGGAAAAATAGGGCAGGCTAGCAGAGATTGTTGAGGAAAGGGGAGGGCAGGCTAGCAGAGATTTCTTAGGATATACCAAACCGCTCTTCATTATTCCTTTAGGTGACATGCTTTGGCCAATGTACCGCGACTACGATGGCTTCCGGAACATGGACGTTGACGGCGTCGAGGCGGAGTCAATCCCCGACGAGGAGAAGGGCCTGTTCCCCGCCTTCAAGACGTTCAACCCGAAACTGCCGCAGATGCCCTTTGACAGCCAAGAAAACCAGGGTGCAGTCGATGCGCAGCAGCCCGGTGTTGCACCCAAGGTTCGTTATGGTTTCGGCTTGGGTTTAGACGTAAGCTAATGAGGGAATTTCGCTTGAAACGATGTACTAAACGCCATTTTTTAGTTCACCGGCAAGTTCGAGGCGCCGAAACCTGAAGACAAGACTCCCGCCATTGATGAGGCTGCCCTAAAGGAGCTCGACCCGGACTATGTTGATGCTCCAGTCAGCAACCCGGCCACGTACTTCTTGGAGGGCGCCAACTTGGAGAAGGTTTGTTGTGTTAATAAGTATAAGCAAGCTAGCCTGTTTTGAGAGGCTGAGCTGGGCAGGCTAGCAGAAAACCTTGAGGAAAAAGATTGAAAAGACTAAGCCTAAGCCCAAACTCCAGCATTAATAGATTTTAAATTACCGTCCTCCGTCCAGGTGTCCGCCCCGAAATGCCAGATGATCGGCTGCACGGGCCCGGTCCCGAATGACGGCTCTATCCAGGCGCCCAAGGACGAGAAAAACGCCGACGGAGCCTGTCACACAACATTCGTCCCCCTGAATGGGTGCCTGGACGGCAAGGGCTACCCCATGGGCATGATGTGCCAAATCTGCTGCGACTGCGCCCGCTCCTTCGTCCAGGAGATGCAGAAGAGCCGCGGCGTGCGCACCGGATATGTTGAGCCGAAATAAGTAGGCTTAGCCTTGGGCTTAGGCTTAGGCTTAGGCTTAGGCTTAGGCTTAGGCTTAGGCTTAGGCTTAGGCTTAGGCTTAGGCTTAGGCTTAGGCTTAGGCTTAGGCTTAGGCTTAGGCTTTGGCTTAGGCTATGCAAAGTCCACGTCCTCTGTCCCTTCCCTCTGTATAGCCCCTCCCATTAATGCTTGTACCATTCGAAACGGGTCCTCTCCTTTCCTCTACTGTTCATCTACTGTCCTGTAAATAGTGTGCCCTGTACATAGGCAATTTCCGCAAAACTTCGAATTGTTGTAAATTATGCAAATTTCGTGCTCCACCATTACGGTCTCGCCCCAACGCCCCTCCCTCCCAGCAACACGTGAATTTCGGGTCTCGCCTTTTTTATGCAAATTGTGCTTCTTAGGCTCGGGCTTAGGCTTGGCTTAGGCTTCGGCTTAGGCTCAGGCTTATCCCTATTAATGCGTGAAAAACCCTTGTACACAACCATGTCCATATCTTGACTGTTTTACCTTATTTTTGTACTTTTTTTGATCGGATCGATACGGTTACGCCCTTGCTCCGGAGAATAAACTCCTTATGCTCAATTTTGATTTTTTACAGGACGACAAGTTACACAAAATTCCATTGAGGGTACAGACTATAAAAACTTTCAAGATTCGAGAACTTTTAAATAATCAAATAACCGATGCAAGCTGAAAAAAAACTGAAAAGTCAGGAAATCTGGTAGAATCGATTTTAACGAGGCTGACATGTCAACATTTCTCATTTTCTAGTCGATTTCCTTGTCATTAAGACTAGAAAAGTACACGCCACTCCGAATGACGCGTCGGCTGGGTATCAATGCGGTGGCCTTGGGCACGAACGAACGCAGGGGGAAGGAAAAGTCGGCGAAAAATTCACGCGCACCACATTCCTGAGGTCAACTTCCCGGTCTTTAAAATTCCTTTAAAATCCTGCTATCCCCAAAAAATCCATTTTGCTGGACCGTCTGATAAGTAGCCCCAATTTCCACCATCCCGTTGTTCCTGGCGCCCGGGCTATTAGTGTGAGAACGCGTGGTGATGAGGAGGGAAAGAAAAAAAAGATGAAAATTGGAGGAAAGGGATGTCTCGAGGTTTCTCGCTTGAATGAGTCGAGAAACGGCACACTGTTTTTCCGGGGCAGCAGTCACACGGCATGGTCCTGGCACGAATAATAATCCTAGCAGTTTGTGTTGTGGCTATGGTAATTCAGGGGCAGCTGCTACGGAAAGGTAAGCCCTAAGGGTATATTAATCCTCAAGAATCTCTGCTAGCCCGCCCTATCCTCTTCCCCAAAAATCGCTGCTAGCCTTTCATACGGCTTAATTCCGCAAAGAATCACTGCTACACGTGCCCTAACAGGCCTAAAATCTGTAATTTCAGATACCTCAGATCCTCTACCCCTTCCCGACAATGATCCATTTGTCATTTTTCGGCTAGAAGACTATTTTCCAAAGCCGGACGACAAAAAGAAGCTGGAAGTTCAAAAAGTGGAGAAGTCAAGTGAAACTTCAGCGAATCCAGGGTTCGAAGATTTCGATCTGCTCTTACCCACGCCTGGGGTGGCTCCAAAGGTTGGCACTTTACATCTTCACATATTTTTTCCTAGTATTAGAGACTATTTGTAAAGTATTATGTATTTGTAAGGCGATGCTTTGAAATTGCAGTTCACCGGCGGGTTTTTGGACGGAACCAGGACGGACCACACCAAAGTGGGCTTTGATGTTGGACCTATCACCAATCCGACCGCATACTTTTTGGAGTGAGCAGATTTGGGAAAGGTATGGGCTTAGACTTAGGCTTAGGATTGACTTAGGCTTAGGCTTAGGCTTAGGCTTAGGCTTAGGCTTAGGCTTAGGCTTAGGCTTAGGCTTAGGCTTAGGCTTAGGCTTAGGCTTAGGCTTAGGCTTAGGCTTATGCTTAGGCTTAAGCGTAGATAGTTTCTATTGTTCTCCTTATTTTTTAGATTTCCCCTCAAAAATGCCGACTAGAGGGCTGCGAAGGCCCGATGGTGGATGACGGATCGGCGCAAATTTCGGGAAAAGGAGGGCAAGAGGAAAATGAGGGATGCTCGCAGGTGCTGATCCCGCTGAACGGATGTCTCGATGGCAAGGGATATCCCGTTGGGATGGTTTGTAGGGTGTGCTGTGAGTGTGGAGCGGATTTTCGCATCGAGATGGCAAAAAGCCGCGGGTTTGGCATGGATTTTGGTGCAAAATAAGTAGCTTGATCACCTCAAGAATCGCTAAATTGGGAAGAATGCAAAAAATAGCGGTGGCTACCGTATTCCTGCGCTACTCAAAATTAAATAACCCTACTCAAATCCGCGTTGAATTTTGCTAAAATTTGTCCCGATCACCGTAACCCTCCCAAAATCCCCGTGGCTGCATTTTGCCGTCTACAGTATCCACCCGTATCCGCAAATGTACATTATGTTAATGATTTGTATAAATAGTTATAGCCTTTTTAGAGCACCACATATTTACACCATGTCGAAAACACGGTATTTTTGCCCCCAAAAAACCCCACCGATTCGAGCACCATCATCTCGGTGGCGTTGCACTTCAGCGTGGTCAGGAAGTCGGTCGCTAAAAGAAATTTTTATTAAAATAATTTATAATTAGGTTTGATGAAATATACTTAAATTTAAGGAGTTTGCGATACCTTTAATGCAAATCTTGCGGACTCGGGAAGCTAGGGAGTCGCTGTCGGCGCCGAACTCGAGGCAGAGTCGGCCGATTAGCTCGTCGGCTTCGGAGCTGAAAAGGAGCTTAGGCTTAGGCTTAGGCTTTACCTGACAACGATGCCATTGAAACATCCCAGCGCCATCGCGTCGCTGAACGCCTCGAAGTAGTGGACCAGCGGGGCGAGGATATCTTCAGAAGTTGCTTGTAGCAGACATTTGATAGGGCTGAACTCCTCGCGGACGACGATGGCCTGCCGAATGGAGCCTGACAGTCTGAAAAGGGAGATGAGAAAGAGAGAGAGTGAGAGAGTAAGGGAGGGAGAGAAGAACACCTACCTAGCTAGCGCATCTGCCGCTCCCGAAGTAGCCAGGTGAAATTTATGCAGCAAATCCGCTACCGTAGCGCTCTGATCCTCGGCACAGGATGCGCGACCTGAAAACAGAGATCATCTCCCAGTTTCTGGCCCACAATTCTCGTGTATCTTCTGGCTGACGCGCGACAGCGAGCGGAGCAGCCGCCCGAACCGCACCGCCAAATTCCACAGCGTAAACGATTCCTGAAGTTCGGGGTCAAAAAAATTTCGTTTTCCTACTTCGACAGCGACGGTCCTCGCCGCACTGGAGAAGCCGATTGCGGATTGGAACGATTCGATGGAGGTGCAGGTGTGGCCCTGGAATGGGTCCTCAAATGGTCTCTGCTAGTTTGCCCCTATTTGTTAGGACTCTCCAAAAACACTGCTAGACCTGACTTACCTGCACGAACTGCGGCAGCTTCTGGATTGTCATCTTGTTATCCGCCTGATCAGGTTGGCACACCAAAACATGGGTCGGGCCCAATGGGCTGGCTATGAGTAACGTGGCCCGGTTACCGGAGGTCGAGATGTCCAAGCCGTACTGGTCGTAGCCAACCTAAAGGAGTGATTGATCGAGATATCTCTCTCTCTCTCTCTTTCTCTCTTGCTTCATACGCACCCGAAAAACCTGCGGGCTGGTGCTGTTCGGGCTGGGAAGGTTGTTCTGGAACGGCTCGCCCCAGGCGTAGATCTAAAGTGACGTATGAACGTAAGAGAAAAACTAGCGTACCTGTCCCGTAGCGGTCAGCGCTAGAGAGAACTCATCTCCGCAGGCGACGTCGACGATGTGGTGTTCAGTGAGGAGGGAGATTGGGAAGGGTTCCGGTCTTGAAATTGAGACTAGAGAGAGAGAGAGAAAGAGAGAGAGAGAGGCAGAGAGAGTGAGCGAGAGAGCGAGAAAGAGAGAGAGACAGACATACAGAGAGACAGAGAGAAGGAGACTTTTAAAAATAACCTGTCCAATAAATCGCCATGACCGAGTTTCCCCTTCTGATTTTCGCCCCAGCTCCACACCTCCACGAAGTCTTCGGACAGATGGAAATTCTCGCGGCGAAGCTGAAAGAAGTCTATTAGAGCCTCAATTTCTTGCTCTCTACCTTTTTGGTCACCTCCGGGCTGTCGGGTGGAGATTCTAAAGCCTAATGTAAAAAGCTTACAACATAAGAAATACCTTCTTGATGGAGTTGCAGAGACAAACGATCGACGGAGAGGAAGCTCATCGTGCTGCCTGGGTCCTAAAAAGCGCCTTAAGACGAGTAAACTGGCTTGGAGGTCCCCGAACTTGCTGTCACGCTCCCTTTAAATGGAAATTTTGAAGGTATCGTACTTTTAAATCATCGCAAAGTGAGTTGACACGACTGCCCGAGGACGAGCTGGCCGACTTGAGCTGCTTCACGCGATTCGGGGTGGAACTGTGGCGATGTCTGAAAGTGGAGAGTTCGAGGGAAAGAGAGCGAGAGCGAAAGAGAGACATACAAAGAAAGAAAGAGAGCGAGAGAGAGCCAACCTCCCCAACGATGCCCTCCTCTCGCGCATAATAATATTTTTATCCGTCTGCTGTGCCAGGTTGACGATCTCGAAGTCGTTCTCCAGCATCGCCATCAGGTCGTGCTCCTGAACATTAAATTCTTGTGCTGAGCCGCACTTTTTTCTACCTGATCCGCAGCCCGCATCATCTTTGATAGCCGCATCTTGCCGTTGTCCTGGCACTCGGGGCAATTTTGGAAATGTGCCTCATTTTTCTGAAAATATATATTATATGCATACCTAGGTTTACGCATCAGATAGAGCAAAAAATTCTGAACCGGATGCTTCTAAAAAAAAAAGTGGCTACGTTAGGCGTGGAAAAAATCACTTTTAGATACGATTTTGCCAAAACGCCTAATTCCAAAGGTTTCCATCCATTTTTCTCTACATATAGTAATCTTTATACGATTTTTAGACAACCATTTGATGCAGAACTTTTTGCGCTTGAAAGAAGATACTTCTAGACCTTCAAAAATCGCTTCATTACCTCAAAAATATCCGATATGTTGTCTTCCAACTCAGCGCTGGCTGTTGTTTGTAGTGCGTCGTCGCGGATGACCAACGCCAGGAAGTGATTTCTAATCGATAAAGGTAAAATTGAGATTAGTTACATGAAAATCTCCAAAATCAAGCTATCGCGTTCCCTGAAATCCGACAAAACCACTACCAGTACCTTCCGGCCACGACTTTTGTACACTTCCGGAATCCGCCCATGAAGACGGCTTTTTTGAGGAAGACGCTCTTCGCTCCGGGCTGGATCTCTTTGTTGTCAAGCGTCCAGAGTTGACCGGAAGTGTCGATAAGAGCAGTACGATGGGCACCAAATGCCACGGAGGTTACGGTGATTTCCCTAAAATGTTTTTGAAAGCTTGACAAAACGTACTCATTCGAAGTGGAGGCAATTTTGTGTGGGCAATAGAGGGGTGGCGCGAGCAGACGGATCGTTGACCATTCTGAAATGGAAGAAGTTCGCGAAGGAATAGGCTTAGGATAGTTAGGCTTAGGCTCAGACTCTGGCTTAGGCTTCGGCCTCGGCTTTAGATTAGGCTTAAGCTAAGGCTTAGGCCTAGGCTTCCGGGTTCAGAAATAGGCTTCGGCATCTGCTTAGGCTTAGACTTAGCTTTAGACTTGGGCTTGGGCGTAGGCTTAGGCTTAGTCTTAGGCCTAAGCTTCCCTACCTTCGCCTTCAAGCTTCACATGCAATCGCCCATCCACGGTCACCAAAAGCGGGCCAAAATTCCTGACGGCAAAAGCTTTTTTCGGTAGCGTAGGTAGCGTATCGATTTGGAGGTCCCGAATCTTTCCCTGAATGCCGTAATTTAAATTTTCAAGGAATTTTCTTACCAATAAATGGCGTTGTGTTGCCGAACTGTAGCTAAAGGGCTCGGAAAAGAGGTTCTGATGATTTGCGGCCCATCCAGAAATGCCGATGGTCCCCTGTTCTTTTAGGCAAAAGATTCCGCCAGTTTCCATGATTACGTTTTGTGGTTGTTTTCTTCTAGGGCATTTGGCTGTTCTGAAAGGCATAGATTCGGTAGGTACAGATCATCAACTACGGACAAGAAGACAAGACAAGATGACAAGGCAATCGATCAAAACTGATGTGAAAGGAATTTAAAGGGGCTGGGAAGGCTAAATAAAATATTTCCAAGATGGGAAAGTCGGTGTCATGATCAACATAGGCTTAGGCTTAGGCTAGGCTTAGACTTAGGCTTAGGCTCGGGTTAGGCTTAGGCTTAGGCTCGGGCTTAGGCTTAGGCTTAGGCTTAGCCGTAGCCTTTACTTTGGACTTTCGAAGCAAGAATTGTCAGGAATTCTCAGCAAAAATCGCGGTCCTTCCAATTCAGACCCGCTGATGCGGAACGAGCAACAAAAAACACAATGTCGTCGCAAAAACAACAATATGACGCCATTTAAAAGCTCGTCACATGCAAATTCCTCCAAAATCAAGCTTACAAAGCCCAAAAAACTCAAAAGCTGCTCAACAATGGTCGAAACTTTTAATGTGCCCAGTCGCTTAAAAAAATCTTGGGATGAATTTTATAAAAAAGTGTTTTTCACACCAAAAATTGCCTAGAATAAGTTTTATACGCTTTAAAAATTGAAAATTACGAATTTCAGCCACAAATTTCTACAAAAATGTTTTATATCTCGGCTCCCCTACAAACTACAGGGCTGTAGAGTGTACCAGAATGTAGTTCTCAATTTAGAGAATAAGAAGTACGGACTTTTAAAAGCGCATAATAAAAATATTGATAAAATTACTGGCTTTAATACAGTTTCCATGAGGTCGAGAATGGTCCTTGATGTATTTTACCACGCGATATTCCGCTTATATCCTCCTGCCATGCCGAAAGGCGGTTGTTTTGTGTATTCCGGTGAAGCCGCCCGAAAAAGGGCAGCCCCCAAGATCGATGCCGTGGGATTTTCCTGTTGAAATTCGTGTTTTCCGAGCGTTTTGAGGGCAAATCGGGACAATAGTTTTTGGTACTGTCCAGTTTTGTAAACAGGATAATGGTATTGGGGTTTGTTTGATGTCAAAATCAAGGTTTTTACGAAGACGAAGGGCAAAAAAACGGATGAAGCCTTTTCCTGCCCCTTTAAAATGCAAACAAGTCTTTAGAAAAATACGAAAATTAAAGTTTTATTTTGGCTTGAATAAGATTAAGTAAAAATAGGTATAGCGCTAGAGTTTGCAGACCAAAAATTCCGCAAAGTCCTCAATTGATTGTCTATAAGGTGTATCGTCATAGTACATTAATAGCATTCTTATGTTAGGCTTAAGTTTAGTCTTAGGCCTAGGCTTAGGCTTAGGCTTAGGCTTAGGCTTAGGCTTAGGCTTAGGCCTAGGCCTAGGCTTAGGCTTAGGCTTAGGCTTAGGCTTAGGCTTAGGCCTAGGCCTAGGCTTAGGCTTAGGCTTAGGCTTAGGCTTAGGCTTAGGCTTAGGCTTAGGCTTAGGCCTAGGCCTAGGCTTAGGCTTAGGCTTAGGCTTAGGCTTAGGCTTAGGCCTAGGCCTAGGCTTAGGCTTAGGCTTAGGCTTAGGCTTAGGCTTAGGCTTAGGCTTAGGCTTAGGCCTAGGCTTAGGCCTAGGCTTAGGTTTAGGCTTAGGCTTAGGCTTAGGCTTAGGCTTAGGGTTGGCTTCGCTTTAAGCTTAGCTTTGGGTTTAGGCTTAGCTTTAGGTTTAGGCTTAGGATCAGGCTTAGACACCAGCTTCCGCCTTGATCCTGCGAGGGTCGAAAAAATTGCAGCAAAAAATAGGCTCCCATTTTTTGCCCGGGTCAGTGAGCGATTAATTGCCGCCCCGATTTTTTTCAGTCATAAAACACCGGCCCAACACGTGCACCCGAATGCCCCCCTCGTGGTGGGTCACAGAGGTCAAAACCGAGGGGGAAAGGGAAAGAACCGTAGTGCGAGTCGAGGAGAACTTTACGAAAAATCGATTACGCGATGAAATGAATCATCCGTGGTTAGCGCGAGTCGCTGGGTCATCAAAGCACAAATGAGGCGTGCGGTTCGAGAGGAAAAGTTGCAAATCAGGGACTGCCCATAGGATCCGGAAGGATCTGCAAAAAAAATCATTTTTAAAAAGGCCATTTTTTCAAAGAATAAAATAGATATTTCTACATTTGGACAGTAGAACTCTGAAAACTACAAAAATTATTCGTTTGGAAATCGAAACCTTTAAGTTAAAATTGAAACATTTCAGCGGCCTGAACGCGAGGTATATTCCGCGTTACGAGCTGTAGCGATAAATTTGAATGATCCGCCGAAGAGAGAGAGACAGCTAGAGAGAGAGAGAGAGAGAGAGAGAGAGCGAGAGAGCGAGCGCGAGAGAGATAGAGAAATACACTAGGTATTTGGAAATATCGACAGTTCGAGTTCAGTCAAAGGCTCTTCACACTCGCTCCCTCATCCCTCCAACACAAAAAGGAAAAGAAGGGGGAAAAGTCCGGTGTGCTCCCACGAACAAGATTGTGAAAGAAGCGTTTCCAGGCCGAAAATACACAGAAAAATGGTAGTAAAAAACTTTAATTTTGTTTATAATTGACCAAAAACAAGTAAGTCTAAGCTAAAATTAAATCAGCGCGAAATAGTCTGCTGAATAATCACATACGATATTTTTCTCCACTTAATCTAAAAAATATAGCGCTAATCAGCGCCCACTGACCCTAAAAACAGCAATAATCTCCATCAATAAAAGGCGCGCTAGAGAGGCGGAGTTGACTCACCGCGAGGACTGGGTGGGCCCCCGGTTGTTGACACAGTTCTTCGAGGTACAAAAAAAAACGGGCGATTGAATGCACCGAAGCGAGAGAGAGAGAGAGAGAGCGAGAGAGAGAGAGAGAGAGAGAGAGAGAGAGAGCGATAGCGAGAGAAAAAGAGCACCCAGGTGACGACCAGCCGGGCAAAAAACCCGCGCCGAGCTCTCAGCTGACCGAAGTTTGTAGCCGCCGGCCCTCTTGACCCATTAGCACACGAAATAGAGCTTTTCTTGGTCATAACACGGGCGGGTTTTTAGCCCTCAGGCAGGTTGATTCCCGGGGCGCGCAATAGCAGTGACAGCCTTTTAGGTCGCGTAATGCAACTGATTACTCGATGTTTTGTTGAAACAAAAACTATTATAAGTGTAAGAAACTATATTGCTTTGATCGCAAGTTTATTTTATCTTACAGTTACAGCTACAAGAATAGTATAATCACATGGACAACGGCTTATTGCTAGGGTCGACGCTTTACAACGGGGCGCTAAATCTTTGCTTGCTTGTACGTATAAAACCAAATATTTTGGAAACAGCAAGACGCATCACACAAGGGTGCATCAGGATTAACAGGGGAATTCTAAAATCAGTTCTGACTTATGACTTTAGGGTATCCACTCAAGAAGCTTTCAGGCCACACTTCCGAGCGATACACGATGAAAAGTAGGGTTTCCTAAGGTCACATAGGTTTAAGAAGCGCAATTATGAATCGAACAAGGTTGGGCTGAGAAACTAGGAGGTTTTCAACAAATAGACCAGAACTATCCAAAACTAAGCCGCTTCTTTCTTTCCAAGGCGAACTTCCTGTAAGCATAGTTTTAGCGCTGATCTTACGCTGTCCGGCAGCAGGAGAATTCTGAACAACAGGCCTGCCTTGGTTCCGGTTACAACAAAGCATACTTTTACAAATATGAAATACTTTATTCAGAGTGGTCGTCGAGTCCGGAAAGGTATCGGTAAAATTTTGCGCGAAGCATACATAGTCATGATTTTGGCCCAAAATTTTTTCCGTTGATTGCACCCGTGCTGTCAAGCCGAGAAGCTAGAAGGCTCGACAAAATATATTTGATAATGTCTCCCTTGCGGATGCGTCTTGCTTTTTCTAAGATATTTGGTTTTATACGTACAAGCAAGCAAAGGTTTTATCGCCCCGTTGTAAAGCCCTGCCCTGATCATATATACAATCGGCCGTCGTGCATTATTATACTATTCTTGCCGTTAAAATAAACTTGCGATCAAAGCAATATAGTTTCTTACACTTATAATAGTTTTTGTTTCAACAAAACATCGAGTAATCAGTTGCATTACGCGACCTAAAAGGCTGTCACTGCTATTGCGCGCCCCGGGAATCAACCTGCCTGAGGGCTAAAAACCCGCCCGTGGTCATAACATCAATGTTTTATACTTTAAATTCGAGCTGAATTCAAAATAATTCCATTTTGTCGTATTTTTTAAAAATGTATCTTCACTCTCCTTGAGCTAACTCTCCGTTTTTTTGTTTTATGTTGTTTTGTAAAATTACTTAGCCAATTATTGCGTCTTTTAAAAAGAAATAAGTATGATTTTAATGATGTTATATTAGCGAGAAATTAAAATTGGATACCTTTACTTGTAGACAACGCTCCTAATCTCACGCCTCTCTGGATTACATGGCGTAATCGTTTTGAAAGTTTTGTTGACAAGAATGACCTTTGCGTAAAATTATATCAATAATGTTCGAACTTTCTTGAGACTTTTTCCTTTTAAAATCGAACTACTCGAAGCTTTATTCTCTTTTTTTCTATTTGTACCGAAAAACCATAATTTTCAGTGATTCCCAGCCAGGATTCCCGGATTCCTGCATGCAGCTCGCCCGCCGTGACGTTTTAGCGCTATACAAGCGGATTTTACGGTTTGCGCTACAATTTAACCGTTTATGTATAATCGGTTTATTTAGTTTTGGCCAAGCGTTCGAATCGAAAGACCCGGCGCTGACCGCCGAACATCGCCAGGAAATTCTTACCGAGGCCAAGGAGCGGTTTCGGGAAAATGTTCAGGTGGGTTTTTTCCTCGAATAAACGTTTAAAGCTATTCAGTATCGACGTATAATAATTTTACCTCGATCTAAAGCCCCTTTTCAGCTGTCCGACGTGAAGCGGATCGGCGAGTTGATGGACGAGGGGCGGACGCGGATGGAGTTGGCTCGCCACTACGGCATCCCCACGGCCCGTCCCGTCTATTTGGCACCCGGCACTGCTTTTAGTAAGTTTTTTTCAATATTTTAACCATTAAACGTCGTGGATGGTATATCTATCTTTGTAGGTTCTTCTTCGATAGTATTTCCAGGGCTACCTCATTTTTCATAAGCCTAGTAAACTGGCATTTTCATCTTATTTTTGTAACCTTTAGCTCTATTTCAAGTGGAAAAGCGTTCAGAAAGCTGCAAAACAGTTGACGAATTCGTCTTTTTGTTTTTATCGAAAAAAGTGTTGTTTTTGTTCGGATGATAAGACCAAAATTGGGAAATTTTTTAAGGTTTTTAGATAGCAAAAACAGTATAAAAACACTGTCATTGTGAAATTAAAAATCTCGAAACTCTGCCAATTCTATAGAACCAACATAGTAAATGTTTGATATACAATTCTCCTTTCTTTTCAGAAAAAGCGAAAGGCAAAGAGGCCATCTACCGATCTCGGCCGCTGCACGAGCGATAGTCGACCAGATTTTTTTCGTGTATTTTTTTAATTTATGGACTTGCTCAAGGGAAAGCCCAGTACTGCTAGTGAATAAATAGTCAGCGCTGTCAGGTGGTGCTCAGAAAATGCAGGGCAAGGCTTGGGAAAATGGAATCTGAAGTGGTGGGGGAGGTGCGCGGGTTTCCAAAAAGTTGACACTTTTCTAGCCTTTTCCCGTCTAAAGCCAACTTTTGCGATGTCTGGATTTAAGGTAGAGTTTTTTGGTAGGGTTTAAATTGTGTATTTTAATAGGCGCTTGATTCCCAGTTTCCAAAGGGCCATATTGAATATATGGACAGTGTGGATAGGATTGTAAAGTCCACCAAGACGACGACAACCACCGAGACGACGGAGACGATCCATTTTCGTGCGCCAAAGGTCTCGAAAAATCATTTTTTTTAATGATGATTTCATTAAACAAAAAGCATAACGTTAATTGCAGCCCATTCTACGCTCTGGCTCCCCTCCAAAAACTCAGCGAAAATTGGCGATAACGACCGAGACGCATCATCGTCGTGTTCCTAATGGCGCCTGTGAACAGTCTGAGTGGGCGAATCGATCACGCCAGGTAATTCTGGTGATTTAGGATGGCTAAGTTGATGCGGGAGTACGAGCAACTCGAGGTGGACATTGATTCGCTGAATTTGGAGAAGGATTTGCTGGGGGTAGGCATCTCTATCTCTCTCTCTCGCTTACTCTCTCTCTGTTTTTCTATATTTTTAGACTGGCCTAGCCGTTGAAAGCATCCGTTGCGGGCAGCAGGAAATTGCGAAACAAGGCTCGTAAGCAATTTGAACCTTTTTTATGCAAATTTCCTAGGTCCCCTCGGAAAGAGGCGAAGGTGAATTTTAATCTTCCGTTAGTAGAACAGCGTGCCGGGACCTCGAAAATCGTACCAGGTATTTTCCGAATTTTTCAGCAGCGAAATAATTGTTTAGAAGAGCGCCTTCAGGCTCAAATGTTGGGAAACACCCAGAAAAAGTAGAATATCGCCTTGTCGTTTAAGAAAAATGACCAATTGTAATGTAATAAATATATCTTTATTAAATGAAATAAAATTTATAAAACTCACACACAAAAACAAATAGAAATTCTGAAGGCAGTCCGTACCCAGGAGCCGGGAGGGGAAAACTGGTGACCAGAAATGTTGGATAATATTGCACACACGGCGGTTGGCAAGATTTGCTAGCGTAATTGTCTACGTACCTATTCTAGCCTTCATAGCTCCTTTAAAATGGGCTAGCGGCAAGCAAAAGAGTGGGCAAACACGTTGCGAAGCGGCAAGAAAGCTCAAAAATCACAATTTAGCAACGACTAGACGCGGGGTGAAGGTGGGTGCTATCACAGAGAAATTAATCCAAAAAAACAACAGAAATTAAAATCCTCAACCCGTAATTGGAATCGACACGGAGGGGTCACTGTAAGGAGGGCGAATACCGGGGTTTAGGAAAACTGAGGAAACGGTGGGCGGGGTTTGGGCAAGAAAATGCAAATGGGCGAGCGTAAGGCAATTCGGGGGTATCGATTGAGGAATCGGAAAAGTCTAGGAGGATTAGGCATAGGCTTGAAAATCGGCTTAGGCTTATGCTTAGGTTCAAGCTTAGGCTTGGCTTAGGCTTAGAGTTTCGCTTAGGGTTAGGGTTAGGCCTGGGTTTAGGCATAGGCTTAGGAGTGGTTTAGGCCTAGGCTTAGGCTTAAGCTTAGGCTTCACTTAGGCTTAGGCTTAGACTTGGGTTTCGGTCATTAAATAAGGAATTCTACGAAATAGACAATTCTAAACCGTTTGCCTTAAAACAACTTGAAACAAACAACTAGCAATGAATCTTGGGAATTTCTAAGAAATGCTCCAAAACCATAAATACCGGGAAGCGGGACTAGACGAAAAAGACGCAGAATTTTACGCACAAATACAAATACAAGACAGCATCATAAAAGTCTGGCTCGTCGATGTTAATTGAGGGCCGGGAAGTCGATGACGCGCCACCGCTCGACGACCTTGTAGCTGGGGTATAGGCCGACTTTCTGGGTGCGTCGATTGGTGCCCTTGCTGAAGCCGTCCCAGTGGTTTCCGGCCAAGCCGACCGCGTCGCCGACCCTGAAAGAAGGGGCTTAGTTTTATGATAGGCTAAGGCTTAGGCTTAGGAGGATGCTTAAGATGCTTAAGGCTCAGACTTCAGCTTGAAAAACCCACTTGAGCTCGATCTCGGCATCCCGCTCGGGCAAATGATCCTCGATGGCCACCTGCTCGTGGTCTAAGAGTTGTCCCATTGATACCGTACGCAATGGCCGACTCACCGTGCTGCCCACCGTAGTAGTAGACATCGTCGAGCGAGTGGAAGGCTTCACCGTCGGGCTTCCGAACCTGCATCAGCTCGTAGCCCATGCGGCATACCTGCAATTAGACGGTTGTTCCTCAAATTCTCTCTCTCTCCCTCTCTCTCTCGCCACTCTCTCTCTCTCTCACCTGACTAGAAAATGTGCAGACGAGGTAATCACAGCGGCTGAGCAGTTGTATATCCGTCACCACCCCATACAGCGAGGCATCTAAATTTGCATACGAAATTTTTGGTTTTGTTCATACTAACCTGTATATCTTGAGTTCAACTTGGCCGTGTCGGCAATGTCGGCGTCGCCAAATACTTCGTAAAGGGGATAGCTGAAAAATTGGAAGTAGTTTTTGAGCTTAAAGGGACCATGAAGGCAAAATCTGGCAAAGGCAACAACTGAGATCTGTAACCGTACTTCTTCCTGGTCTCCGCGAGCACAGAAGGGTCATCCGAGGCGACGAACACTTTGCGGGGCACCGGCTTGCCGACGCGCTTGTCCTGGACACGGAACCAGATCTGGAAATAATAATTATGGAGCTTTCTCTCCCTCTCTCTTTATCTCTCTCTCTCTCTCTCTCTCTCTCTCTCTCTCTCTCTCCTCTCCGTCGCTCTCCCACTCTTTCTCTCACTTTCTCCTTCTCTCTCTCGCTCTTTCCCCTTTTCCAACTCACCTCGACCCATTCCATATATTCGTCAACCGAATGAAACGCCGCTTCCGTGCCAATCTTATCTGTTCGTCGAACTTGAATCCCGACAATAGGACCTGAAAAAGCATTTTTAACGCATTTTTATAGCTTCCGCAACACACCCCCAGACAAACATTCCCCTCCCCCCTAGCCCAACTCTACGAAAGGGCCTCTCCACAAAATGCTGACGATTCCCGTACGATTCTTGCTATTTCTAGCTGCGATTTCCGTAGTTTATGCCATCCTACCGTATCCGGATTTCAAAAATCGTGGTGGCAGCCCGGAAATTAAAGCGAATCCTCCAGGTACGTTTCGTGGAATTTTGTACCAAAAATTGACTATAGGGCTTCATTGGATTGTGAAAAATGCAATATGCTTTCTAGGCCTCCAAAACTATGGTTTCCGGAGTGACACGAGCTTCCGCTTCGGGTTAGGCTTAGGCTTAGGCTTAGGCTTAGGCTTAGGCTTAGGCTTAGGCTTAGGCTTAGGCTTAGGCTTAGGTTAGACTTAGGCTTAGGCTTAGGCTTAGGCTTAGGCTTAGGCTTAGGCTTAGGCTTAGGCTTAGGCTTAGGCTTAGGCTTAGGCTTAGGCTTAGGTTAGACTTAGGCTTAGGCTTAGGCTTAGGCTTAGGCTTAGGCTTAGGCTTAGGCTTAGGCTTAGGCTTAGGCTTAGGCTTAGGCTTAGGCTTAGGTTAGACTTAGGCTTAGGCTTAGGTTAGGCTTAGGCTTAGGCTTAGGCTTAGGCTTAGGCTTAGGCTTAGGCTTAAGCCTAGGCTTAGGCTTAGCCTTAGGCTTAGGCTTAGGCTTAGGCTCCGGCTAGGATTGGGTTATAGGCATGGGCATAGGTTTTGAATCCAAAATTTTAGGCGCTCCCGTAACCTTGGATGAACCCAACTCCGCTAAAAACGAGCAATTTGTGGCTCTATTTCATTTTATCTATTTTTCGCATTATTTGCGAACCGTGATGCTTTGATAAATTTGTGACAAGCCCTTAAAATAACGTCATAAAAATCCTGCCCACCTTTCCCAAACGGCACCTTCGCCACGGCCCTCTCAATCACACGATCCATCTCCACGTTGTTGCGCATCAAATACCAGATGAACTGGCTGATGAAATAGACCGGCGGGTTTGAGTGGAGTTTCAGCATCTCGTCCTCAAGCTGCTTCGGGAGTGAGAGGGGCAGCGTGGCTGGGCGGTCTTGGAGTGCGTCGACGATTGGGAGCTCGACCACTCGGACTCCTGCGGAACCACGGAAGGCGTGCGGGGTCTCTCCCTAAAATTGTCATTTTTTAAGTTCAACGGGTACGGGAAGGTTTGATTAGATGCTGGACTAAAAGCTAAACTCACGTTCAACGCCTCATCGGCGCTACACTTCGAGACGGGCAGAAACGCGCCAGACCAGCCTTGCCTCGAATACCTGAAAAATTATGGCTTTAAGGGACAGTCGAGCCTCACCTCCAGGTTCTGCCATTCTGGGTGAGGATCAGGGTGCGCGATTCGCCGAACGCCACCACGAAGCAATAGCCGACGTGGTGTAGCTGGCAGCCAAAGCCGCACTGCTTGTCCAGGTTGCACACGAGGATACTGAAACAAGGGAGGTTAAATGGTCTCTGCTAGCCTGCCCTCTCCTCTTCCTCAACAATCTCTGCTAGCCTGCCCTCTCCTCTTCCTCAACAATCTCTGCTAGCCTGCCCTCTCCTCTTCCTCAACAATCCCTGCTAGCCTGCCCTCTCCTCTTCCTCAACAATCTCTGCTAGCCTGCCCTCTCCTCTTCCTCAACAATCTCTGCTAGCCTGCCCTCTCCTCTTCCTCAACAATCTCTGCTAGCCTGCCCTCTCCTCTTCCTCAACAATCTCTGCTATCTACCCACTTGGCCCTCTTGCAGTCGGGCGGATTCTGGATCTCGTCGATGCGCTTCTGGATCTTCTCAGTGAGCCCGAGCAGCGACTTGCTTCTCCACTCGGCATACACATCGCTCAGGTTGTAGGAATGGGCAAGTAGAGAGGTCATCTGGAATGTAGTGGATCGTAGTCAACTACAAGTGGTGTTTGTACCTGTTCCAGGGTGTGATTCTTGAAGACATCAGAGTCCTTGTTGTCCTTGAACTCCTTCCGCAAGTAGTAGAACATCTCCCAGATGCGCTGGTCGACCCCACGACGTACCTAGAAAAGATAGTCAGACGGCGTCAGAAAAACGTACCTCTTCAAATTGTCGCCCAGGCCCGAAGGCGTCCGGCTGCAGCGGTTTTGGGACCACCATTTGTTGGTTCTTCTCCTAAATGGAAAATTAGCTACCGTACTTTAAAGGACTATAGAAGACAAAAAATACTTGACTCAGGCTGAGACTTACAAGGAGTCGTTTTTAGGTGATATTGGAGTTTTTGAACGAGACCTAGCTAGTTCGATAGAGAAAAAAATTCTGAACAAGATGTCGTTTTCCAAATCTGCTAACCGTGTACGCTGTTCAATAAAAATTAATTTGAAAATCATTAATCTAACCGTCATTTTCCGCCTGATCCGCAGATTCTGCGCTCTGGGTGCGCGTCAACATAGCCCCCTTTAGGCCTCCCTCCAGCCATGACCAGCTGGCCTATTGGTAGTGCGCTTGCTTCATAAGTTTTTGTCTTTTTTTGCCAGCGGGTTCGACTCCTCGCTAGTAAAAATCTTTTTCTTTTTGCTCGATGATGCCAAATTCGATTTCAATGGTATGAAAAACCAAAGAGCAAAACAATATATCACAATAAGTTCCGAACCCTGGGCATAATTTTGCAAAAGTTTGATAGGCGCCGGCACTATCCACTAGGCCACGATCTCATGCGGATGCTGGTTCGCGCTGTGGGCTATCTCCCGGGCCTGATCCATGGGTCGCAGCCTGACGTCCAGGAATTTTTTCATTAAAATTAATTTTTATTGAATACAGTACACGGTTAGCAGATTTGGAAACCGACAACTTGTTCAGAATTTTTTTCT